GTGTTATTAGGCATTTCTCAGTACGCGTTGTTTCTCAGAACTCTTGTCATTAAGTGACACATGACTGTTTGCTGCTTAAAGTTTTACAACTCTCTGATACTTGTTTTTGTGTTGTTGTTGTTTTTTTTTTCCTGGATGCTTTCATTTGGATTGTTTCTATTGCTATGTCTTCAAGTTTACTAATCTTTTCTTTAGTACAGTCAAATATGTTATTTATTCCACCCAGAGTATTTTTCATCATTAATGTTTCTCCTGTAACAGAGGACCCTGAGCAATACCGATGCCATCTTCTTAGGTGGCTAAATGCCCACCCCCACCCCCGTGTGAGAAACCGTTGACCTTCTCATAGAAACAGGAGCCATACACAGTGAACTATTACATGAGAACAGGAACCATTCACCATGAAAATTTGTATGCTTGATTGCTTTAACGTCTCACTTTCGGCTTCTCTAACCTAGCTACCTACCTGGTCAAACCCGTGTGCCTAAGGGATGTGGGTTTTGCCTTTAAAAACCCCACAAGACCAAGGCTCAGTGCTGTTCTCCCAAAATACCTAGGGGAGGCAGTCGCTGGCTGGCTAATGAAGACTCTGTTAAATTTCTTAATTAAATGTTTGGTTCCTTTCCTGGGCGACAACCTCACAACAGTCTCTTGGTTTCTTCTACCTTCTGGAACATATGGAGTATATCTATAATAAGGACTTGTCTACTAATTCTATCATCTGTGTCATTTCTGGATATGTTTTTGTTGCACAGTACAGGTCATATTTTGCTGCTTCTTTACATGCCTGGTAATTTTGATTGTATACTAGACATTTTGAATTTTATATTGTTAAGTGCTGGAAAATTTTGGCATTTCTTTACATATTTTTGTGCTTTGTTCTGAGATGTAGTTAAGTCACTTGGAAATAGTTTGATCCTTTTAAGTCTTCTTTTTCAAGCTTTGTTCGGTGAGCCCAGAGCCTCCTTTAATCTAGGACCCAAATACTGAAGCAGTACACTCTTAAGTATTCAACCCAATGCCCCTTATTCATTATGAGGATTCTCCACTCCAGCTATTAGGAATATAAATTATCTCTAGCCCTGCACGAGTCCTAGGGATTAGTTTCCTTCTTTCTGGTGGTTCTTTCCTTGACCTCCAGTAGTTTCCTTGCAGACATGTACACATCAGTACACTCAGGTGACAACTCAAGGAGAGCCTTATGAAGATCTCTGGACCTCTGGATCTCTGCTTTCCTTCTC